AATTAAGAATACAAACCATCAGCCCTAGGGGTGTCAATTTCAGGTCACGGGTCGGGTTCGGGTCGAACCCGAAACAGACCCGACACTATTCGGGTCAACCCGAACCCAACCCGTTTTTGAAAACGGGTCAGTTTTCCTGACCCGAACGACCCGTTTCTAACAAAAAATTGCTAGTTTTTAGGTCAAAACGGGTCTATCTCCTCTTTTTCGGGTAAAAAATGGCTTGATCTCCTCTTTTCGGGTAAAAAACGGGTTAAAATCGGGTCAATCTCGGGTTGCCGGGTTAAAATCGGGTTTTCGGGTCAATTTTGGGTCAAAAGGTTAACCTGAACCAAACCCAATTTTTGAAACGGGTCAAAATGTTGAACCCCAACCCGACCCGTTTCGGGTTCGTGTTGACCCTAACCCAAAATTTTTGGGCCGGGTTCGAGTCTGGTTTTCGGGTCATGTCAAATATTGACATCCCTAATCAGGCCCCTGAAATATTAGGAATTTTTTAGGGTCCCCAAATATCACTGAATAAGGTAGAAAGAAGTATGACATTTTTTTTTTTAACAAAAAACTCATTTATGCTTGGCTAACTTATAGGTTTCACAATGAAATGATTGATTTTTTAACTCATAAAAAAGTTTTGGATACAAATTTTTTAAAACATCAAAATATGGATATCCTAATCTAAAATGATGAAGTTAAATAGTAGATTTTTATTAAATAGGGATAACATAGAATAATCATTATTTATGTTATACTAATACGAATACAGTGACATGGATACGATATGATACGGATACGGGACAACGTCAATTATTAAAAGTACAGGGCCTGGGTACGTCGCGGATATAACATTATAATTTATAAATCATACATTAAAATTAAGAAAACAAGCAAAGCATAATATTTAAAATGATAAAAAGAACTAAAGAACATGAAATTTAGTCTTGTAGCTTATACTATCAAAATAAAAGTAAGCATATAATGTCTAATACAACATCAAAAACAAAAATAAAAACTATCTAGCACATGAAGTTTCAACTATTCAATGGAATGAATGATAGGATTAGCTTCTTCAGGGGTTTGTCATTGAGCTTATATATCATCTTCAATAAATATCATAGCTTTCAATTTAGGCTCATCAAGTGAAAAATTAGCATTATCAAATATTCTCATTCATCAAGGGACTCGAATCCATCTCCAGCAGCATCCCACATCTTGTTATCTCTTTCCATATAAGTTAGAGTCTTTCTTGATAGAAGCAGAAGGTTTGTATGCACATAAACTAAATATTTAGTCTGTTGTGAAGTAATTTTGTTTCTCTTCATTGATTAGATGAAAGAGTATGTGCTCCAATTTCGTTCACAAAAAGTGGAGGATGAAACTTAACCAAGAATTTTGATGGCGATTGTTTGAAGTAGAGGTGCTGAAGCTCCGTGAATCAACCACCATATCTTTGGATCTATTCTCCCCCTATCACACAAAGACTCATGGTCACCAAAGTTCACTAAATAATAAAAAAATTTAGCAAGCTCTACATTGAAAATTATTTTCTCATCCTCATTTGAAAAATAATGCTTCAAACATGTATTCCTTATATTTGAAATTTCTAAATACTTATGTGGAGAAACTCATTGAGGATCATCTTGAAGCTATTCTTTACTTGATTATCTTCAAATAATAGTAAAATAAAATTGAATTACATCATTATTAATCAAATAATTATAAGTTAATAATAAAAACAATATTGAAATTTACCTTAGATTTAATGAGTGAGCAAAACAATGTAGAGATGGTAGATAGTAAAGATTGTTCTCAAAATAAAATAGTTTTACTTAAGAAGAAATTACAATATTGAAGGTTGCGCTCCATGCAAAGTTTTTAATGAAGGATCTTAGCCCTAGTAAGAAAATTTTTGGAGGAGAGATTAACAAGAATTATTCTTGTCACAAGGAATAACCATCAAGAATAATGTGAGTATGTTTGGGATGGCAGTATCTAAAACAATTTTTACACCTCTAGCATACCTTGGAATAGAGTTATAAAAAATGATTAATTGAATGTAGTGATTCCAAGGAATATGAAGTCTTAGTTGGAAAGCTAATTTACAACAAGTTATGGCCTTGTCCACACATGAAGTTGATTACATCACTGCATCTAAAGTCATAAAGATGTATGGTTGAAAAGATTGGTGTATGAATTTGTATTCAATCAATACATTCATTTGGGTTTGTTTTTTTGTGACAATCATAGTGTGTGATACTCCTCACCAAAAGTTGTTATCAAAGGAAGAATCAACTAAAAATGTTCATAGGCAACATACAGAAGAGTGCTCAGCGCTCGCGTATGTACACTTTTCCTGACTCTTCATCTTGTCCGCTCATGTGGATGAAGCACACGACGATGAAAATGAAGAACTCAACAGAAGATGCACACTCCTTCGGCTTTCCCTACTCGCGTATCAGGCTCCTACGACGTTGGCTGCTTGCGTAAAGTGTAAAGAAAGAAAAAACCTAAGCCTTGCTCCAAAAATGAGTGCTTGCGAAAATGAAGAGAATGAAGTCCCGCTCACGGAAATGAATAGGACTCGCTGCTCACATAATTTTTTAAAAATGGATACGCATAAACGAAATGAATACGCGTAAATTAAAAAGGATATACGTATCCTTTTTTATTTAAATATTAATTTAATTGGATACGTTTTTGCCGTATCGGACACGTGTCTGAGCCGTATCAGACACATATTTGTGTCTTACATGTGTCATATATGGCATCCGTTCATAAATAGGTGTATCCGTAGATCATTATTGATAATAGTGGATTTGTTCAACTCTTCCAGATAGTATAGTCCATCTTTCTCCTTAGCCAGTTCAATCTTTTTTTCGATCCTTGGTCCTAAAATAAACAACAAGTAGGGTTAAATCAGACTTGACAATTATGGTCACTAGTAAGTTTTTATATAGAGATTAGGTTTGCGGATAATTGAGATACATGAAGCACATTTTTTTAGAGTGAGAGAAAAAGATAAGTGTATGCCTCCTTAGCCTGCTACTGTGATAAGAGAACCACCAGCAGTGATAATTTTCTTGTTACTTGAGCAAGGAGTGTAGTTGATGAAGTGGGTGATGGAGTGTGTCATGTGATCTGTGGCTCCCGAGTCATATGATCCCTAAATCTTTCAAATGATTTCTAGAGTCACTTAACTGAAAGTGCAAGAGAAGAAGATGCAAGTGATTTTTCAAGGGATGCCAGAAATTATTTTAGCTTATCAATATCTTCTTTGTTGAGCTCTCTGAAGCTAGACTACATTTTTGGGTTTAGTTAACTTGTTATAGTGTTAGCTTGTGATGTCCTATTTTGTCCACTACTTTGATTCCACTCATTATTTGAGGGTTTTTCATAGAACTTCCAGAATGTCTCATTTGTTTGTCTTGATTTCTTGCAATAGCTATACCAAAGGGAGTCTTTGTCTTTAGATTTTGAAGAATTTTTACCTCATTGCTTTCATAGCGCCTCTTTGGCTATCACCATTATTGAACCTTAAACAGCCTTTGGTTCCAACATTACCCCTTGTCGGCTCTCCTCGGAAAAAAAGAGAGAAATTGTCTTATTTAGTGAAGGTGTCTCGTCTTTGCCAAGGATTTAAACTCTACTTGGTCAAACTCCGCATTTAATCTTGCAAGAAAGTCATACAGTACTCTATCTTTCTCAATAAAGCTACCTTTTCAGGATAGCAACATCTTCTAGATACTTGGTATCTATGCAATTGTAGTGATCAAGTTCTTGCCACAAGCCTCAAAGGAGAGTGGCATATTCGGTCTCAGTCTTGCTTCCTTGTTTTGTGCTTCCCACCTTGAACTTTATTTCAAAGTCTTGAGCAACATCCCGAGCTTTTGAGAAGTTTTGCCTGACAAAATCTCATATGTCATTTGCAGTAGATAGGAACATGAAAGTATCACTAATTTTTGGAGTCATGAAATTCCACAGCTATAACATAGTTATGGAGTCTGTTTCATCCCATGCCAAAAATTAGGATCTCATTCTTTTGATCCTACCCCAAGGAGGTGATTCATCTTTCCTTTTCTTTTCAAGTAGGTCTTAAAAAATTGAGACCACTTCAAGTAATTCTTCTCATTTAAGCGATAGGAATGTTACATATTTTGAAGGTCTCCTCTTCCTTGTTGCACCATAGAGTCCTCCATTTGGTCAAAGCTTTGGGAGGAATTAGCTTCAGACATTGAGGTGGCAAATGATAGCGATGAAGGCTATATCAATCAAGCCACCAAGGTACAAAGCAATAATGAAGATTGCATTGGTTATAAATAGGATGGCAATGAAGGAAGATACGACAACAATTATGAAGGTTGCATGGAACAATAGCCCTCAGAATTCCAACAACGGTAATGAAGGCCGATGGTGGGACAACAGGGAAATCAGATCATGCATTCTTAGGCTTTGATAGCATGTTAAATTATGAGAATTGGAGAGGGAAAATACTTCATTTTGCTGCACAAAGTTATCCCTATTATAGATCTATACTAGATATCTTAATAAGGAAATAAATAATTACAGAATAATGCATAATTGTCCTAATATAATCCTTCATAAATCAGCCACCCAAATCTAGAAGGAAATTGGCGTGACCCAGGTGAGCCTCCCACGGATTCCCATGTTGGCCATGGGATCAAGGGCTAAGGGACAGCTGGGATTTAACAAATCTAATTAAATATGTCTAGCCAAACCTTGTTCTAGTCCCTTGCAGTGCTTAAATATTAGCATGAAAGTCAAATAAGTTCTTAACAGCTTAAACGGGTAATTGAGAGCCTCAGATTCCCACAGTAGTTTGGGCAAATAAGCATTCAAGTTACATAATATATAAATTTAAGATGACAAGGTCAAATAAAATAAAAACATATACACATGCTGAATAAAGAACAATTATGTGCATCGAAAAAGTTAAGTGCAAGGAAATTTCAAGTAGGAAACTGGTTTCATATCAGAAGAAGAACCTCTTCCTTTTTCCCGGAATCTGAACGGCTAAGTGGAGTTCTTCTCTCCTCAACGTCAGAGGCATTGTCATACAGATCATAAGATCTAGAAGTTCCACCACAAAGACCACATCGATATGAAGCAGGTCTTCTTTTAAGATCAAAACTTGCAGCCCTTAGGCGTACAAACTTCGTACATGCCTTCTCCGCATTGGTCTGCAAATTAGAGATAAAGATAATTCTTAAAATGGAAGAATAGCGTAACATCATGTAACAAAGTCCTGCTGTTGGATATCAAAAGTATGATATGCTAAGAATCCTTTAAGAACATTGTTTGTCAATTCCCATGACGTGAAAATGATAAAATAAAATTATAAAAAAATGCTTGCATATACGGTAAAAGGAAATGAACGTATAGAATGTTCCTCTACACACTTCTTTCCAAGTAATGTCTGCAGACCAATATGGAAATTAGTTCCCATGGAATATCGCAAATATTATGGCGGATTTCTGAATCCGTCTTAGCAAGTCATTCTTGTTAGGTGATTTCAATTATTCAACGGTAATTCAAAATCAGGTCAGTTTTGAACTACTAGTTTAATTCTTACTGACCTGATTTTTCTATCCTTATCCCATGAGCATGCTTAGCCTAATTTTTCCATTAATATTAACAGTTCGGCGCCGTTGCAGAGCTGTGACAGGATTTTTTGCAGAGTATCAAGATAGGTACTGTAGCACCGGCGTGGGCAACGGCAGATATGTAATCATTTGAGATTTTATATATATATATATATGTATTTTTTGGCTTTTACACAGAGGTCAACAAATGTAAACACTCCATTCAATTCTACTGAATCCAATATGTCAAATTCATCAAGTGTAATCCATTTGCATAACATTTGGCCATCTTATTTTCAATTCACCCTTAAAATATTTTATTATTATTCACAATATTTATGAGGGAGTTTCATAGTGTGACGTAGTGGTGGGTTCTCCTTAGTATTCAAGAAATATGCCCATGTCAATTCTTTTTGCAAACAGTAAGACCACCAGCCCACACTGATGATGATTTGGAGCCAATGCAACATGTATGTGATGAGTTTCCCATCGTGCCCATATCTGTTAACGGCGAATAGCGCACCATGGCGCAAAGGTCCATTTGGAGCCATGGCGTATAGCGCTATTTTGAACATGACGCAAGCTATATAAAAATTATAAAATAATAAGCATGAATATGAAATATTATTAAGGGTTTCCCAGCATATATACAAATGTCAGCATATATAAAAATTATAAAACATAAGCATGAATATACCACTGATAATGAAAAACATCTACAAATACAAATGTCAGCATTTTTAATGCCCTATGTACCAAAGCATATGGAATAAATCTTATAGCCAACAACTTTACTGTCGAAGTATAGACTAACCAAGTATATATAACAGAATGCTTCAAAGACATTGTATGTTGCTAGTTGTCTTCTGTGGAGCTTAAGATGCTAGATTATAGCTAGCAAAACCAATTCAAATATAAATTACACAAATTAAATAAATTAGGCACGCAGATCAAAAACCACTTACCATAATTTTATGAAATGCTCCACTCCGATGTATTCTTTGATGTGATAAGTAACTCATTCCATGATAAGTTATGAAAAAATTTTTAATGACATCATCAAGTGGCATGTCTCTTAATCTCGGTATTGACCGAACAAGAATACTGAAATGGCTAAGTTTAGGAGGACGTGCTGTAACATGATCCAGTCTTAGTTTGGAAATTCTTTGATATTCCTAAAGAAAAAAAAAAAAAAAGAAATCATGCATCATGCTTCGATAAAGCTTCAAAGCAAATAAAGATGAGCTTAAAAAGAAAATTAAAGAAATATCCTTGAAATCCTTAAGCAAAAGCTTACGAAGTAAAGAAGGGTACAAGCTGAGAAAGAGATAATATGCAGGGCAAGGCAATGAACCCACAACCTGCAATGTGACAACATAAAACTGTTAACTCAAAAAGAACAACATTAGCTCAAGCATCCAAATTTCCAGTATATCACTTCCAAATAAAATTAAAGGTCTAAAGATAGCTTGTGCATTTTGAGATTCTCGCACAACTTCCAGTTGATATACAAATGCCATAGCAATTGCCTCCGAATTACCTGGTACAATCTTGAAAAAAAAAAATTAAATCACTTTGCATAGTAATTCAATCAAGGATGACTGCCTATTACGGACAAGTTTTCACACAACATTTCATCAGACAATCAAGACGTAAGGCATTAAAAATTCATTATCCCAGTTGATCTTGATCTCCAATCAGTATAGATCCACCAGCCTATATCAGATCTTCAAGTGATATTGTGCTTGGTCGTCAAACATACACAGCTATCTTGTACCTTTATCTTTCACTAACTGGAGCCTACTCAGCACAAGGACAAACTTGAAAGAAGTATTCTAGAAAGATCATAAAATCGTAAGGAAACTGTAACTTATCTGGATAGTTCTTTCCTTATTAGCATTCACTAATGGGCAAGATCTACCAATGGAGGGTACACAATTACCACAAAGCGATTGATTCCAATAGATTAATTTTGAATCTTGGCCACACATGCATCAGAATGAAGCAGTGATGCAGGAATCAAATAAAGGGCATTAGATTAAGCTAGTAGCATCAGCGAGAAATAATAAACGAAACGAATACGGTTTTCTTGGAAGTGCCTTAATATTGAGTTCTCTCAAAGCAAGTACAGATACACCAAGAACTAGCATGCATTGAGGATAGTCCGAAACATCATTGAGCTCACCATTGAGAACCTTCCTTAACATTGGCAATAGTAAAAACTTCCAAAGATTCACGAGGAATTTGATTGTGAGTCATTTCTTGTCCATAATAATTCAGTGGCAATACCCCAAACATGCAGATGAGGAAAGCAATAAAGAATATTCGGATACTGCAAAGTGAAAAAGAAAGGCAGAATTAGTAGAATGGTCAAGAACTAAAAGAATCACTTGTCTGAACATTATGGTGTTGCAATAATGAAAAACAAAATCATTTGATTGCCCAAATAATTTTGAAATTTTAAATGTATAAGAAACTTGAACTGCCATTAATTGTTTATTATTCAAGTCTATTCACTTTTAGTCAATTTTATCAATGCCGCATTAGCCCATCTACTATTTTAATCGCTTATGTTTAAGATATCTTTTTAGAATGCCAAGGCCCTGTAAACATAGTCCAGAACCATTTATGCAAGGGTAAGGATAAGAGAGCCTATCCAGTGCTGTTGTTGTATATGTATATATACAACATTAGAACTAGCTTTAACATCATTAAAACTAATGGTATGCACGATTTCGAGATTTTTTTTTAAGATTGTTTGATCATCAATTGGATGCATCAAAATTTTCACAATGGATGTCTCAGTTTGCATGAAAATAAAATTTTTATTCCATTATATAGATTATTTCAAAAGGATACGAATAAAATTCATACGTTCATTATAATGTCTTGTATGCATTGAATTACTTTGACTGGCGAAATAGATAGGTAAACTCATGGGAAGAAAAAAGAATTACATGAGTAAACCCTGACTATTAAAAGGGCTTCTATATATCATTTTACACCTTCGAATTTTTCCATAGGCTTCATGAATAGTTAAATCATCATGAAAAGTGCTGAAACTCGATCCACATGTAGTTCTTATGTTGTAGATCACAATCAACTATATGATCTAGAGCTTGATGACAACAGAAAGAAATATATGCAAAAATAAAATAAGGAGTAGAATGATGATATACTAGCTTCCACTGGCTTGATGTCTAATCCTTCCTCATCAATATACCAACAAGCATGATGGAGGAAAAAGAACTATCATTGAAAACTAAAACTCATTGAGCCGCATTAACCTTTGTTATTTAAGATGTATTTAGTTAGAGTCCATACTTGACCCTTAGTAGAGTTATTATTATGTTCCATTATTTAGTACACATTTAGAAGGTAGTTTCCATACAATATCTCCCATCTAGTATGCACCAATGATCAAAAATTACAAAATAAGAATACCTTATAGCACTACAAAATATAAAAATTCGCATTTGGTGCTCTAGAAATGAACTTAAGGCATATTCATGGATTGCGGTTTAAATTGATCCATCATATGGTATGATGGAAAAATCATAATTTTTGCTCGGAAACTCAAGTATCTATCTATGTATCACAAGCTATATAATGCACCTTACAATAAGTCCTAGTTTACAATGTTTTTAAATAATTATGAATTTATGGTTAGCACCATTCTATCTATAACAATCCAGTAAACTACGAACAATAGCTTTTCACCTACAACAATCTAACAATTCATGAACATCTTTTCATCTATAATAATCCAGCAATTCATGGACAATAACTTTCCATCTACAGCTTCATAATCCATGGACAATATTATTCTATTTTTGGTGTATAGTTAATTCAATATTCCAAAATTAAAGAATAATTTTTAGAATTTTTTTCAACTAAATAATTATTTTCCCATCTATTTATGTATAGCTTAACTTCTTCTACACAAAATAAACAAATAAAATTCAATCATTAATTTCCATTTTCTATTCTTAATCTCTACTCATTCTAATTTTCAATATGGTATAAGAGACCTTTCTACTCACTTTAAGATAGAAGATTCTTCGACATGGAGTCTCTCTTCCAATGGGTCTTTCACCAACACTAAAAGCTATTCTTTCTCCAACAATAATGGACAAAACTTATGTGAAGGACCTTTCTGGAAAGAAGATGATGGCAGTTACCACAAAGAAGCAAGTGATTATGATGTAGAACGAACATGCGAAGGAGCTTCTTAAGAGAATTAAAAGTGAATGACAACGTAATTTCAATTAATATCTTATCGAGATAGCAAGAAAATCATTCAAAATTTCGTAGTTATCAACTAGCTTAGGTGAAGAAGTATGTAGATTAGCCAAAATCTTCAGACAACCAAAAATAGTAGCAACACTAAAAGCTATTACAACAATCAGACATTTAATAACGAGAAGTTCACCTTGGGGAAATACTCTCTCAACTAGACTAGGCTTTGCGGGAGAAGAATTTCAGCACACGAAGAAATAAAGACTAAATTGCCCTCAGGGCCCCAACATGACTCAACTCAACATAAGGGTACAAAAGGAATACATAAAATAAAATGCATAATAACTAAAAATATAAGCTCTGAATCGTGGCCGTCGATCTGCAATGCTTCCGGCAATACACCTGTTTGAACCTTGGATCGATGTCCTCATCAGATTAAGAATCTGACAACTCCAATACAAGAAATCAATCTCAAGAATAGAAAATTCATATGCAAAACATTGAAATTTTATGATGAAATGTTAGGTTGAAAATTTTCAAAGGAAACCAGCAATTAATACAACTTCCCGCTTCAACTATATGGGCAACAATCTGAAGATAACTAGCTATTCTCTCAAGAGAAGCTTATTATAGAATATCATTGGAATAAGTTTGTTTGCCCAAAAAGATAAGCACTCAAATGACTTCATTGCAATCAAGGAGGAAACTACTACTTGGACAGTAGACTTGAGAATGTTATATCATATGATATGAAAAAAATGATCCTTTGATTCTTTATGAATGACCAAAATAGCCTCCAACTATATTAAAAGACCATTGTAGCCCCTCAAGTCTTTAAAAAGGAATCATAATGATCTCATAATAAGACTATTTTGATTCTTTTTAAGGAGTTAAGGGGCCAAAATGATCCTTTAATAAAAAAGTTGTCACTTTCAGTCAATATTAATAGTCAGAATAGTTAATGTCATTCTCTTAAAAACTATTTTAGTCTTTCATAAAAAGTCAAGGGACCATTTTGTGTTTCCTGTAAACTATTTTAGTCTTTCATACAAAGTCAAAGAGACAATGTGGGTTTAATGGCAGCACCCCTACGCTATCTAGAATGCCTTAAACTTTACTTGATGCGTGCAGGAAACACAATTACAGCAGTGAAAACAGTGAATAAAATCTAACTACGTAATGATATGCATGCAAGTTTTAAACTGCAATGAAAAGCTAGACCCTAGGATGTTTTTCTAAACATGTCGTGCATGCCTACCATGCTCTGATACCAAGAATGATGTGATACGATCAAGAATTGCACGTGAAATTTATAAAAAATCACAAAGTGTGCTAATTTAAGATTAAGGTATCGGGAGATGACGTTCAAGAGTTTTCAATTGTCAAAGTTATTATGATAAGCAATTACAAACGTGATGTTTGGACACAATTAATGATAGATCTTGAAATTATCACAATAAGACAAATGCGGAATAATATAGAATCCCACAGTTAATATTTAGAAAATTCACAACGAGTTACCTTGCTCACTCACACTCGAAATAGGGCTTAGCGGAAGGTCTTTAGCATACCCAACGATGCCATGAGGACGGTAGCAACCCCAATGGCCTTGAACCACGGAAAGGTTGACGGTGGCGAGTGGTTGACTATTGATGCTCCAATCGTAGTTTGGAAGTTGACGATCGATGACGCTCGCAAGAGTAGGGACAACTGGATCCAAATAATCTCCAACGGTGACGTCGTGCTCAAATCCCACGTCGAAGAACGGAGATCGTAGGATGTTGAGATTTCCGTCGGCGTCGAACACAAATCCCCATTCAAGCTCGGGATCCACCATTCAACATTGAAGTGGAGATGGGGAGGCGTCGTCTTCTTCTTCTCTTGGCTTCAAAGTTCCCACAGGAGGGAGTAGGGAGAGAGGGTGGTGGGAGAAGAGGGAAGAGATGAGCTGGCGGTTCTAGAGGAAGGGGCTAGGGTTTGAGGAGGTGATTAGGTTGAGTGTGGGTGGATTTTAATCAAAAAAAAATCTGAAATAATTTCAGATTTAAGTCAAATTGGAGGGATAACAATTTGGGATTTGAATTTCAAACCTCATGTGATCAATGCCATAAAGTGGCATTTAATGGGAATTAATCCCAAGGAAGGCCGGCGGCTTAGAGAGGGGAGAGGAGGGAATTAATTCACAATCCTGAAATTAATTTCAAGATTAAGTAAATTAGGAGGAAAAGTTATTTGAAATCAATTTTAATTTCAAATCGGATGGGGGCATTAAAGAAGCAATCAATGGGGGGAAAACCCTCATGGGGCCGGCGGCATGGTGAGAGGGGAGAGGGTGATGTGGGGAGTTACAAGGTTTCCAAAATAGAGAGTTCCAATTTAGGGTGAAAATAAAGTTATCCAATCTAATTTGAAATTAGATTGAATGACATTTCAGACTTTCCTAATATGGCGTTTGACAAATTTGGAAAGTTTGGAACTCAAACAATTTTGAAATTTCAAATTTTGAACACGTGGGGGAAAATGGGGAAAGTGGCCGGTGGTGGGTGGTTGGGGAGGAGGTGGTGGAGGGGCCGGCGGCTAAGGGAGAGGCCGGCGGTTGATTCCTTAAGAAGTCGTCAGGATGGCGTTGGGGCTTGACTTGAAAATAAGCGGAGTGGGGATTAGGTGCTGGTGAGGATGAAGGAAGCACAAACAAGATAAAACAACTTAACCACGAGCCGCAGACTCTTCCAACGACTGGTGAGCCTTGCGATTGCTCCCCTTGAGCTCTCTCCCTTCTCTAGCACTCATGCAAGAAGAAGAAGAAACAACATAGAAATTTCATTCAAATATTCATTATCCTTTTACAAAGCATAAGACCGCTATATATAGGTCTCAAACACAAAGAAAGAAAAGTACTCAAATGCCCTCTGGGCTACAATAAGAAAACACTCCCCATAGGGGTAAACTAGGAAACGGAAATGCAAACTAAATAAAACATAAAATACATCAAAAGTAAAAACTCTGGATCGTAGCCGTCGATCTGTGCTGTCTCCGGCGATACACATGCTTGAACCTCTGATCGATGTCCTCATCACTTCTAGTGCCTAACTGATATTACAACTTACTATCAGTCAACAAACTCACTCGAGAAAATGCTTGTTATTAATTTATCAACTAATATTTGTCACTTTCAAGACTTGAACTTGAAAAAGAGGATTGTCAGTATGAAGATATGTTTAAGACTCTACCTTTAAAAAATAATCCCACGGGTAAAGTACAGGCTCAAATAATGAGTTGTGTACACATCAAAACCCCAACTTCAAATTTCAAACAAATTTCACCTATTGATAATGATGTTTGGCATTGACACTATCACCGGAGAGCCCAAACTTTACTTAAAAATTAAATCTTAATGCATTTATCAATGACAATTTCAAGGATTTTCAATGCTAAATTTGCCATAGGGGTTAACAACCACATCCTATCATAGTCAAACTTACACACATTTCCAACCTTACAAACATTCCAAACCTTTTGATTTAGTCCATAATGATGTATTGACAACAATCCAAAGCCAAAAATGTCTCTAGAGCTTGACGGTTTATTTTCATAATAATTAAATTATACCTGAAAATATTTTTCAATTAAAAAGGATTAGTCATAACATAACTTAGTGAGTAAATCATACTTCTAAGTTATAGTAACACAAGGTATTAGAAACAATATGCATGATTCAAAAAATAATTTAATTCTATTTAAGATTCATATCAAAACATGGCCATCTATATTATGCATATATCATATATGTCACTTATATCATATACTTATCCTTTCTTAATAATACAACCGCCATAGAAAACACCGTCTAAAATAGTACAAATAAATTTACTCATTTTTTATTTATGTACACGGGTGTATTGCGTCTCCAGCCAGTACCATAAGGGGGTGTGCTCTATCAGCCAATCATATATATGCAAGCATACCTTATCTAGTTATTATTTATATAGTATTCATTAACTTTGTATGATAATTTGAAACAAAACATATTAATTTTCATTTGATTCAGCATGATCAATCATTGGATATGAGAGATAAATCATGATCCAACTTATAATAAAGACTTAATAAAGAGGTATTACTATCTTTCAATGCATTTAATTTAAAAGAGAACAAAATAATTACTGTAATTAAAAAATATGAGTACTCACCTCGAAATTTGATGCCTTAATAATTCACCTTAATTATTATTTCGTTGACGCTAGCATAACACTTATATAAAAATCTTATCATTTAAAATTTAAATAATAAATTGCTCATAATTTCTCTAGCTCAAATATTATTTACTTTTAATATTTTAAATTTCCTCTCATAATTTAAATGTATCATAAATCTAAAATCTTATAAATATTTTTTCTCTAACTAGATATTGAATATACTTAAATAACTCTTGTAATTAAATTATTGCTAAAAAGATAAAATATATTCATTAAAATTTAAGTTATAAATTGCTCATATATTTTAATTATATAATCTCTCTATTTCTAAATTAACTATGAAATTATATATCATAATTAATTTTAATTAAATAAAATATGTCATAATATTTACTCTCAAGATACATTTTATCAAAATAATAAATTTTTTTCATAATCTCATTATTATTTTCAAGTTTAATTTCAAAAGATATATGCTCACAAATTTCAAAATAAATTTTCAAATAAAGTTTTCATGTTATCATGATTTATATCATTAAATGACATCTTATTTATTAACACTACTCATTTTAATCTAATAATTCTCAATTATAAATTTTCATCATCTCACTTATATGTATAAATATTAATATATTAATCTTCTTCTTTCATTTTAAATATTAAACATTGTTATTATTATTATTATTATTATTTATTGTAATGAATAAATAACAAAACTTATCTTTCTTCCTCCTCTCCAAATCCTAACTTGCACGCATACAACTCCCCCTCGACTGGCTTGGTCGTAGGTGTCTTCTTTTTCTCCCGCTCTCTTCTTTTCTCTTTCTCTCTATTTCCTTCCTTCTTCTTTTCCCTCTCTGGTTGTGTTTCATTTGCTCGTTTGATTTCACTGGAGTGAACAAATTGTAGTTATCACCCACGAGGAGTTGTTGCTTTTCGTTTCTTCTTGTTGATAAGACTAGAGAAGGAGTTGAAGGTAAATTTGAATTATGGGGGTCAACCTTGGAGTCTAAGGGTTTTTGTTTGAGTATATATAAAACAGAATATATGGAGTGTAATTTTAGTATTAATAGATCTAATGGGGGGATTGTGACGTTGAGCGATCGAGTCATTAATAAAAGTATACATTTTAGATATTTTGGGTCAATTGTTCAAAGTGATGGTGAAATAGATGAGGATATTATTAGTAGAATTCAAGTTTGATGGTTGAAGTGGAAGAATGCTTCAGGCATGTTGTGTGATAGAAAAGTCCCCTTCAAACTTAAAGGAAAATTCAATTAGATGGTGGTGAGACTTGCAATGCTTTATGGTGTGTAATGTTGGTCATTTAAAGAGAAGCATAATATTAAGTTAAGTGCTACAGAGATGAGAATGCTTAGATGGATGAGTAGTTGTACTCTTAGAGACAGGATAGGAAACAAACATATAAGTGAAAAAGTTGGAGCAGCTCTAGTGGAAGATAAGATTAGAGAGAGTCGCCTTAGATGATTTAGTCACATAAAATAGCGGCCTTCCGATGACCCGATTAGGGAGTAGATGTATTAGATTTGGCATATGTTAAGAAAGGTAGAGGTAGACCTAAAAAGATTTGGTTAGAAAACATTAGAAATGACCTTTCTTTATTAGATTTAAATGATAATTTAACTCTTAACATGATACAATGGAGAAAAAGGATTCATGTAGCCAACTCTATGTAGAGGGATAAAGGCTTGATTTTGTTATTATATGCATTATCATTAAATGAACTCCAATTTCCTTTAAATCAATCTATAATAAACTCCATCGTTTTGTTCTTTTTTTCTCTTTCTAAATAATTATTCCTTAAAAGTTTCATTTAACAATCCCTAAAGATATCATTTCCAACCTTCATTAATGCCTTCATCTTTAATAAAGATTCTATTAGCTTTACTCTTAAGACACCAAATTTGATCAAAGTTTCTGGGTCTTTTCTTGCCCATTATTTAATTATTGTCATTTTCTACTTATAACCTAAATTGCAATACAAATGATGCCTTTCAGTCCTGAAAAGAAGAATGATAATAGCAAAGCGAATATCTTTGAGCACGAACAGACCAAGCAACTATACCGCAGAACTTGTTCAACACTCCGTATGCAAGTTTTAACAATCAAATTGATGAGTCATCCACAATGCCATTAATTTTCTATAGCTCTATAGGTATCCAAGTTTAACACCCAATGTGAATATATTCAAACGTAATAGAAATCGAATCAAAAGGTAATGCGCATTCGGATACCTGAAAACAATCATCCTTAAAAAGACAACAGCATCAAGGCCGACGGATGCCAATATCTCATTTTCGGTTGGTCCCCATGCCTTGAGTATCCAACCTGGGAAAGGCAAAAAATTTTCAATATTGAAGGAATCATTTGGCTTGTTCCGCTCCTGGGTGAGACTCCGCCCAAAATACACGTACAAATTTGAAGGCTGTTTCCTGATCACCGAATAGATCGAGATAAAGAACACACAGAGGCCGATGTTTATGCCTGCGGAGGTCAGCAGAGCGTCAAGCTTCATCTCAGCCTACCGATATCTGACCCAATGAGCATTTCTCCTGCTTACAGCGCACACCGCCTAAAATGGGCAAAAACTGCCGATCGATCTTCGCATAGGGTTAGGGCGAATATCCGAGAGGAACAGAGCTGGGCATTTAGACAAATGCTTGAGATAATAGGAACCCTGTTAAGACCAGAGTAGATCGATGTAAGAAAACCTAGATAAAGAAGGACACTTCGAGTCGGCCATGGGAGAAATGGACGAGGAAACCAAGGAAAGAGCGCGCCAGTTTGGGGTTTGGGAGGAAGATGTAGGGGCCACAATGTCATGATACTGCACGCGTGCCTTTCGCCTATTGAACCAGTAGGTCCTTCTAACGGCTTTTGTCCCGCTGTTCACACAAATCAGCGCTTCCTGTTTTTAAACGAAACCGATTACAAATTATCAGTATGAGGGAAATGTTAGCCGGCTCACTTGCTCGGGTAAGGGTTCATGTGAGAAAAAATTTCAGTTATTTGTTATTGGGCACATTAAATCTAGAAGCACCAATGTTATGGCGACTCTCCGTAGAGATTATTATGTGCAGAATTAGGATTAGCTTTTCGTTCGGATTTCAATCATGCGAATACAAATAAAATTTATCTTTTTTTGCAAATCTTTTGTACAGGAGAAAAAATTCACAATCTATAACTGTAGGCCATATTCAAAATAGCAAGGGGGCAGAGGTTGGATGGCAATAACAATCTATTTGGGTCTTAGGGTATGTCTTATGTGTAAGCGACAGCACATCATATCTTAAGATGTACCGTTTGTATTTACTAGTTTACCTTTTATCAGCTATATAAACAGTTGTATACCGTGTACTCATTAAGGCTCTAATAATATAATTTCTTCTTCTCTTTTATACGATCTTGCTCCTTCTTCTTCTTCCTCAAAGATTCTTTCATGGTATCTAGAGCTGGAAATGGGAGATCAAGAATCTGATTCTACCCACCCTCCCGCTTCCTCCTCCACGATCGCCGGTACTGCTGCAGATCTTATTCTACCGGCATCTCTCAAGTTTATTGTCACGACCCGACCCGACGGGGACGGATCCCGCCCGAGCCGGACCACGACAAAACCTTCTTATCCAGGATCTGGCTTTGGAATTTGGTTACTGAACTGAATCTTCCAAATTAATCAACTCAACAGACACACAACCACAGAGCTACTATTTATCATCAATCACAGCGGAACAAACATCTATATTTTCATTTTTCCTCAAAACAATCATCTACAGATACAGTACATGGCTTTTGAACAGAAAGAAAGACATAACAGAAAAGCCATGACTGTACAAAAATCAAAAGGTACAAACAATACCTATACGGATCAGAACTCAGAAATCTACTCCTGGACTTCCTTCCCTTTCCCAGAACCTGAAAACCACCAGAAAACAAGAGTGAGCTCAACAGCTCAGCAAAGCAACAGACCTCCAATCAAAACTCTCAGAATCCAAAACCAAACTCATCAGACAGAAATCCGAACAGAAATCGGAACAGATATCAAATCGGACATATCAGAACGAAGCAGAACAAATCAGAACAAATATCATATCAGAATTATCGAATCAGAAGTAAACTGAACGAAACAGATATCAAATCCAACATAATTGTACGGAAACAGAAATCAGAAACAGAACAGATCAGACATAACAGAATCATAATTGCTTACAGAACAGATACGGAAATCAGAATCAGATCAAATCAGATATCAGATATCAAATATTTAATGTCATAGCTAAATGCCCTGACACTGACGGAATCCTACGGATTCCGGCCCTTATGCCTCCACTCCCAGGAACACTGACTGAAATCTCATAGGATCCAGGCCCCTTATGCCTCCATTTGTCATGGCACCAGAACAATATGTGCTTATAGCCCAAACAGAATTCATCGGATTCGAACAGGAACTGATTTCGATTTCAGATTGAGCTTCATTTCAGATTTCCCAGACACTAAACTGAATCTTCATAGGATTGCAGACCCCTTATACTTCCCTTTTTATAGCACATACAAATAAGCATTCATTCAGAAAGAAACCGGGCAGAATCCGAAATCAGACAAAAATCGGGCACCCCAACGGCAAATCAGAACAGAATTACACAAAATTTCCTGCAAAGAAAATTTACAAAATGCGCGCACAGAATATAGATAAATCACATTCCAGAACTTTTATTCTACCGCACAGAGAATTACAATCACAGAAAAATGTAGTCTACGAAAAACTCCGCCGAAATCAAAAAAAACCGAACAAAATCTCGAAAATAAACCAAAATGTGCCACCTCGGCACGTCAACAATATACAAAAGTTACGCCGGGTAAAAACTGAACCGATCAAAAAGATACGACGAAAAAACAGTAACGGAAACGAATCCCGGACAAGACAAAACACGCCAAACTGCGACGGTTCTGAAAAATTGAGAAAGGCGGAATGTGCCTTACCTTGCGTACAGCAATATTCTGAACAGTCCTTCGGACGAAAACGGTCTGTTTGCGTCGTCCGAAATCAACTTTTTCCAAAAGTCCTGAGTTTCTCTCTCCTCAAAATATTTTTATTTTAATTTTGATTTTCTCTCTTTCAAAACGACTGAAATTAGCTTTTATAATCTTCAGATCGGTCCGCGCCGATCGCCAGATCGTCCAGGACGATCAGACCAAAATCGATCGTCCCGACACCGTCCGGACGATTCCAGAACTATTCTCAGGCCGATATTTTCTACCGTGCCGATCGGCTGGACGATTGTCTCAATCGCCTGGACAGTTACAGAAGAATCACCTGGAGCCAAACTGGGCAAATATCTGGAGCAGATTTTCCACTGACGTCACCGGAGACGATCCAGATCGTCCTGGACGATCCGTGGAGCAGATTTTCGAATTACATTTATTATCTCCAACTTCAGAATCTCATACCTCATCATGCTCACCACCAAGAATTATGCAATTTGGAGGTATTCAAATCCTTCAAAATCTCTCAGCAAATGGTTACGGTGATTATCTCCACCGGCAAGATCACTCCTCCGATCGATACCTCCTTCCCAAGACTACGCTCGATGGCAGCTCATCGACAGCAACCTGATTTCCGCCCTTTGTCTCCACCATCCTCGCCCGCCTTCTTTCCCTATGTTATCACCAAGGTCTAAAAACCGGACCGGTCAATAAACCGGGAGAGGGGTTAGAATTTGATGGTTCGACCGAGGTCGAACCGTGGTCGAACCGGATGACGTAAAATATTTATTATATTTAAATATTATAATAATGACACAATGTTATTTATTAAATATATAACCAAAAATTGAAAAAAAAAATATATAATACTTTTACTTATAAGTGCTGACAAAAGCCACTAGCCCACACTTAGCCAACTATTATGCTTTTTTCATCTACAACAATGCAATAAAACCAGACCAAATGAGGCAATTACATTGCACAACAATAATAAGTTCAGAAATTTTATTCACCAAATCTGCAACACAAAACAAAAGGAAAATCCACCAAAAACATTAAAATGTCTAACTTCCGATCCTACATGTAAGGGAACGTCGCCAGAGGAAGCAGAGAAGCGCACGAAATGATGAAAGTTACCTTCACAGTCCGGCGAGCTCACGTTATTGCTTCCGATCAAAATGTCTAACTTCCGATCTAATGGGAAGGGCAAGCCGTCGAAGAGGCGACGTCGATCAGCCACGAAGGTGCCGGAGAAGCACACGAAAGGTGGAAAGTTACTTTCACAGTCAGCGTGCTCTCGTTCTTATTCCGATCTCCAATCAAAATGTCGTAACTTCCGCCGGACGAGCAAGGTCGGACAGCAGTGACGGAGCTGAGGAAGATGCGCGAAATGGAGAAATTTAACTTCACAGCCAAATGCTCCCGTTCTGGCTTCCGCTCAAAATGTCGAAACTTCCGACCTGGCCGGAAGAGAAAGTCGTTGAGGGAACTGAAATCGAACGCCAACGGGTGAGCTCATCCAAACGAATGATGGAATGAGTAGGTTTTTTTTTTGTTTGTCATCCAAGCCGCAGGATCAAATCCAGCGGCTGAAAATACGCATAATCGAACCGGCCGATTATTCAAAACCAGAGCCGATTTTCCGGTTCTACGGTCGAACAGGCGGTTCGGCCGGTCCGAGGCCGGTTCGACGCGGAAACGGTTATTTAGAGACCCGTAACCGGCCGGCCGGCCGGTTCGCGGTTCAACCGGTTGAACCGGCCGGTCCGGTCCGGTTTTAAAAGCATTGGTTATCACTTCTAATTCATCTCAAGAAGTTTGGGCTACCCTTGAACGTCGGCTGCAGTCGTCCAGCCGGTCCCGAGTAATTCAACTTAAAAACGAATTACATCACGTTCAAATGCAGAATCAAACGATGCAACAATACCTCTCTAGCATCAAGAACATTGACGGTAATATCGCCGCTGCCGGGACCAAAATCGATCCGGAGGACGTCGTGCTCTACACGCTGAACGGTCTTCTGGCGTCATACAATGCTTTCTAGATAGCCACATTCCATCCAGGATCAGTCCAATACCGCAACTATTTCGGACAACATTCAAAACGACATGGCTGAACCTATTCAACCCACGAGTCATCATATGCAAACCCGCTCCAAAGCAGGTATTCACAAACCCAAAAAGATTTTCTCTCTTATCAACACAGGCCCAATTCCTCCTACTCCAACCACGTACAAGAAAGCTTCTTCTCACGCTCACTGGCAAAATGCCATGACGGTAGAATTCTGTGCGCTTCAAAAACAAAACACTTGGACGCTCGTCTCACCGCCGCCCAATACTCGCATCCTTGGTTGCAAATGGACGTACAAGACCAAACTTCTTCCCTCGGGGACAGCTTGATCGTCACAAAGCACGCCTCATCGCCTTAGGATACGAACAAAAATTCGGTGAAAACTATACGGAAACCTTTAGCCCAGTGGCTAAAATGACAACAATCCGAATGATCCTTACCCTTGCCGTTAACAGACAATGGAACATGCTACAGCTTGACGTCACCAATGTCTTTCTCCACGGCGATCTCCCTGACGCAATTTATATGCGTCAACCACAAGGCTTTGAAGATCCTCATTTTCCCAATCACGTTTGCAAATTAAACAAATCTTTATATGGACTCAAACAAGCCCCTCGCCAGTGGTTTCAGAAATTCACAAACTTCCTTCTCGCACGCGGCTTCGGGGTCAGTCGCTCCGACCCCTCTCTTCTTATTTTTTCTCAGAAACAAATTCAAATTTTCATTCTAATCTATGTTGATG